GAAGTTTTACACATTGCAGAAATGCCCACTGCGCCTGCTGAATGTGTTTGGGAGTGTGTGGTATGCAGTTTCTCTCTCAGATGCACAGTGTAGCAGCAAAAGAAACAAGACTTGATAAACAGATGTTTGTCCAGTCTTTACATTTTTCTCTCTGCATATAGACCCTGGGGAAAAACTGCTAAATGCAGAAAGCATTTCTTGTTTGATTCTTACACACATTTTATATTTCCATAATAGGGTTCCTTAAGTACATACATATAATCTCACATTTTCCTTCCTTTCTTTTGGTGTTTCTGCTTCTGTGCTGCATGAGTTGAATTTCAATCTCCCCCTCTTGTCTCTCCTCTCAGCTGAAATTTAGTTTGGGAACAGCATGTTGATTTTTCCAGCGGCCCAGTTCATTCCTCTTATTTCACGGTGGGGGAAAGGAGGTAAACAACAGGGGAACGCTCAGTGTGGAAACTTTGAAGTGATGATAGCTTTATACTTTTTAAAACATAAAAAATGATGTGTCAATTAAGACAAACAAGCTTTTTTAATCAAAGCAACATCCCGACAAGATGCTACTTTTTGCAGTGATTGCTGTAGGCATAAACAACAGATGCAGACAGATGCTCTTTGTTTTCAGACACAGAGACTGGCCTTTTGAGCAAGCGCAGGTAATAGCATCAATTTAACAGGGGAAGATTTGTGAGCCTCCTCTGGTCAGGGCTAATGCTTTTCTCCAAACCCTGGCAGGGTGGGTGTGTTTGTACAGGGACGGAAGGCTGAAGTTGGGTAATACAGAACAAACTATGTTTAAACTAATATAAAGCTTGCTTACTTCAATGGGTCTTAGCAGGATCTGGAAGGAGAGAGTAAGGGGGAAGAAAAGGGAATTTAGAGTGAAGTCCAGGAAAACATTTTCACAGATGTTGGTACCTGCTGAGAGGATAGCTCTGAGCTGGTAGCTCCTGCTGTTGTGTTCCGCGACAACTGTCACAGGCCAAAAGTATATGGACAACTACATACTTTGGTGTACTTTTGACAGGGGCTGTTTTAGTTTGGGCTAGAGTCCTTACTGTCACTGAACGAACTGTAAGGACTGTGAAATCAGTCCCTCTGGGATTTCGCAGGCTTTTTTTTAGGATTGTTGCGGCCTAAAATGCCTGATTTCACAACAGCATTTCTACAAAATTGTGAGGCATGTTGCGATGGTTATAGTATGACTGCGCGATATAGTAAAAACAGATATTATGATTAGTGTGGAAATGATCCTTTTTGCATCACAAATTTAATTTTCACTGAAAAAACTTAAAATCATGATGATGTGAATTGTTTTGGGGATCTTTGGCAAACAAACTTACATCTGGAGAACAAGATTTGTAGGCCAGGGCATCTCTGCAGCACTACAGTACTTATAATACCAATAATGGTGTTTGTCTCTTTTGGATAATATCTTAATGAATTTTGCAGACGTAGTTTTTAAGCATTTTTGTAATGAAATTGCAGGGAAAAGTGAACACTGTAAAAATAGTTGTGATTTGTTTGTATAATTCATGAAAAATCAAAGGCAACATGTTCCAGTCAGAATGGACACACGTCACGCCAACAGGCAAGAATGTCTCTATCAATTAATGATTTATACGCAGCAACACGAACGGCACCACTAACCCTGCATATTTAATCTAACTCATCTTCATTCTTTCAGAACATTGGATTTGGATACAATAGCCTCTGTCTCTGTTATTTGTCTTGTCTGTTGTCCATGTGTTTCAGCCACTCTCTATATTAGCAGTAGTATAAGCAGTGATGCCAATCTGACCACTTTTTTCAGTAATGACTAATCTAACCCGTTACTATTTCCAAACCGGTAATCAGATTAAAGTTACTTATCCAAGTCACTGTGCGTTACTATGTTTGTCATTTTCCTTAATAAAAATATATTTGCTTTCTTCTTGCGTCTCTGGGAGTGAAGTCACGTCGACTATGCGACAAGTCACGTTTTCAGCATGAGGACAGTTCACGTGTAGGCTACGCAGACACAAACATAAACAACAATGGAGGGAGGAGAGAGATGCGCATTTGCTAGCTGGAAAAACAGTCACTATTTTGAGTTTGTGTCAGCTAAAGATGGCAATATTAAGGTCTGTTGTACACTCTGTGCTGGTGGTGACAAAGTGCTATCTAGCTACAAAAACACTACGTCAAATTTGAAGAAACATTTGGAGTCGCAGCACTGCACAGTCAAACTTACAGAGCAGGTCCCACCAGGTGGTACGAAGCAGAGAGCAGGAGGTCCCCCACCACCAAACAACAAAAGCTGGACTTCGGTGTAAAACCAGTAAGTGGGGCAGAGTTGAAGAAGTTGGTCGGGCAGTATTTTGTAGACTTCAAATGTCAGGAGATACATTGTTGACGTTACTGTTAAAAATGCGCTTCCAATAAAGTCAGTGTTGGCAAAACCGGTTGTCATTTTTATGTTGAGGCGGCGGGGGTGTTGTCGGCAGCTGCTGAGTGTAACTAATAAAGTAATTTGTAATCTAACTTACTTTTAAAATCAGTAATCAGATTACTTTTTCAAAGTAACTGTGGCAACACTGAGTATAAGTAGTGAAAGAAATTGCTGACTTTGTCCACCACATTGTTTAGAGGGGCATGGACACTTCAGTAAAACGGGCAAATAACAGAAAGCTATCTTTCTCAACTATCTTATCAACCAGCTCACCCACCAATAACATAGAAAATTGACTGCTTAAATAAAGCAATGAACACAGCAATGTTTCAAACATAGTGAAGAAATTAGCAAACATATTCCTATAAAGCCATAAGATAAGTAACATGTGCCCACAACATAAAAAACAATTCCTTTTGGCATGGCTCCAGACTAACGTTTTGCATTGGTTGCACTGGTGCGCCTAACTTTTTTTTTTTAGGTGCACCAGCACAAAATTTAGGTGGACCCAAATTTTTCATTGCGTCGCCTTTAACGCCATAAGGTCACCTTTTTATCGCTCTCCATTACTTTCATATAATGTGAATGATTTTTAAAGAAGAATAAGGCGTAGAGAAATGCTTGTCTTTATTTGAAGTACAATTATATATAAAACGAAAAATAAAGTGTTTAAAGTGCTTCACTGAGCTGAAATTGAACATTTCAAATTAAAACACTAAGCAAAATAAAACATTTCCAAATAAAAGTTTGATACGAAACGTTGTTGACCCGCTCACAAATGCACTATTTCCTGCCATATTCTGACCGCACTCCTGACAGTACACGCAGTGCATTGTGTTACGTCCTCTGTTGTACCTCAGCCAGGGAAATTGTCTCAGCCAGTCCTGTCTGAAGGAATATATTTTGACCTTTTTAATTTGGGTCTTGGATGACTGAAAAGATGTGGGCTCGCTCTTGTCCCTCAGTCTATTCCTTTTTCTCACAGACAGTATTGGGTTACTCACAACTGGAGCACTTCTATAGCCTGGATCTGCATGAAACTGTCACTAGTGGAATCCTCACCAGAAAGTTAGAAAATATCTGGTTCTTTGATGAATTAAGTCAGCTACAACTCCAAAGGTGTATTTCCAATCACATAGCTTAAAATAATGTCATGTGCACTGCTAACAGCTGGCACTTTAGGATGAATCCAGCTATTATCACACCTCTGACTGGCTTCTTCTCCTTAGCAACAATGGTGAGGCTCATGGGTATTGTATTTAGAGCCAATTAGATGTCCTTAGTGTTCATCAAGTGAACCATCTCTAGACTGGTTTATTTGTTCAGGGTTCCTTAAAAACATGGGTGGATCTAGAGGCTAAAGGCTGTCATAGAGACTTTAAGGGGTGGCAGAAATATGCTGATTTAATCACAAACAATCACATATATCATTTTTTGCTTGGAAAAGTCCCCAAATGAAGATATTTGAACAGACAGAAAATTGTGGCACATAGTAAAGCACCAGTCCTCTACTTCCCAATCTCTGTTTAGTATAATATTCTACAGAGGGTCCAAAATATGTCTCACCTTTACATGTTTCTTAATTTGCCATCAAAGCAGTTTAAAAAAGCCTTGAAATCCCTTCTAACCTAATATTGTCCATATGGACTGTCCATGTCAACTGGGTCCAATCACTTTTTTTTCCTAAATTCTTTTTATGAATATCACTTACTTTATTTTTTGTCTTATGAAAACTCTAAGCCATATCTTATGAGTGTATGCTCTAAGTCTGTTAATGGTCGTGTGTGTGTGTACCTGTATGTGTTATGAAGTGTAAGTAGTCTTGTAAGTAACTTGTCTCCATCTTATCAATCTCTCTCATGTTTCTGTGCTCTACAGGGGTCTTCTGCACTGACATCCAGTGCTGCTGAGTCATATGCTATAAGCTACTCCTTTGCATATGTGTTTTCATGCCTAAGTGCATTTATGATATGTCTTGAATTAAAGTTCTGACAGGGATTGCCTGAGGTCAGTGTGTGAAAGCCATTGCCTTAGCCTGTTCTGCCATAGACTCTGTGGATGGTCAGTCAGTGTATGTGAAAGTCTTGCTACTCTCTGTCTCTGCTCTGCCCTCTCTTTTCCCTCACATGATCAGCAGGTCAGCTGGTTTGTAATTTGTTGTGGAAGTCTTTCTCTCCTCCCTGTGCCTGCAAAGATTTCCCCCTCCCCCTGCTCTCCCATCTTTCCCATAGCTCTCCCATATCCAGCCTCACTTAATCCTGTTTCAAGAAAAAAACTACTTAGTATAAAAGCACAAAAACACAATTCAAACAAACAGACATGACTGTAAATGGTACAATGGTGTGCTGACTTGTAGAAGAGAAACACAATTTGTTTCTATGCAAAAATCTACTTTTGATCTTCATTATTCTAGTCAGATTTTCCAAATGATTCCCTTCGTCTAGCTATTCTGTCATAAAGTTTGATGGACCTTTTTCATTTCTGTGTTTATATTATTCATATCTTGTCTATGTGTGGTTCAGGAAGTGTATTGTATGTTCTCAACTCTTTATTTCTCTGTCTGCAGGTTTGAGTGCAGCAAAGCTGTTGAAAGCCAATGGACTGAGCCCTGTAGTCTTGGAGGCCAGGGATCGGGTCGGTGGTCGCACCTTCACTGTGCGGGTAAGACCAGGAGATGCTGCTATTAAAAGGGACCTTTTATGCAGTATATTGCTGTTGTGGGACTATTATTATTATATTTATTAATAATAATAACAATAATACTACTACTAAACTATATTTCATATCACCCTGCAAACACAAAATTGAGCTCAAATGGTTTTAAAATTAAAAACAGAAGAGCAGACATTATTAGTTAAAATTAAGAAGAGGGAGGAAGTAAAATGTAAAAATGTAAATAGTTTTAAAAATTGCATTTAAAGGTATGAGCAAAGTTCAGTCCAGTTCTCAAAGGAGAATATCAGGATCAGGTTACCAGGATCCACAGCTATTTGTTGTGTGTCATCTGCATAGCAGTGAAATTACTGCTTTGTTTATGGATGATTACCCCCTTGTGTCAACATATAAAGAGAAGCAGTGGACCCAGGACAAAGCAATGTGTTACTCCATACATGTTCTTTGCAATGAGACAAAAAAGTTCTGATCTGATTGGTAGGAGTCTTTCCAACCTATCGATGAGACGTTCTGTCATCAACAGAGTCAAAGGCTGCTCTGAGGGCCAGGGGCCATATTACAGAAACTTCTTAACTTGGAGAACTTAATTGTTTGTAACAATGGTAATCAGAGTTAGGCCCTGATTTAGGAAAGAAGCCATTACAGATGAACAGTTCCAATGTCAATGATACTATCCTAACTTAAGATAGGAAAAGTGCACTACACAACCATTTTTAAAAACATTACATTTCCCAAAAATAACATATTTGCATTTCTCTACAGGTGTTAATAACACTTCTAAGTCATCCGTCTTAAAGTTAAGTGCCTAAGAAAAAACAACAGTTACAAAGCTTGGCAAGAGTCAGTTGCTAGGGAATAGTTGATCAGCAATGTTGGATTGAGTATTCAGGATTTCTTAACCTAAAAGAAAGAAATAAGACAAGATACTTTTCCTGAAGTTAGTTTTGCTTCTGTAATACCAAATTAGGAAAAATTCAGAAATCTTAAGACTCTTCCTATCTTTACTTGAGAATTAGAATAGGACCTTTTTGTAAGACAGCCCTAAAGCATATTTTCAACATGTTCTGCAATGTGTATATTTTTTTACATTTGTATTTTATTATGTTTATGTTTTCATTTTTATTTTTCAGAATAGGGAAACAAAGTGGGTTGATCTGGGCGGGGCTTACATTGGACCAACTCAAAACCGCATCCTCAGATTGGCATCTGAGTATGACGTGAAGACCTACAAAGTCAACGAGCAGGAGAGCCTGGTGCATTATGTCAACGTGAGTGGGAACGCATCTGTGTGTGGTTTTTGGCATGGCAGATTCTACTCTACTCTGTGTGTATATCAACTACACTTAATCTGCTGACAGCTTGTTCAGTAATGTACAACATGTTGGTCTGGTTTTTAAACAGAAACATAGTGAGCAGTAGAGATTCTGCTAGGTGGATTTTGTTACCTTTGGACTGTTTCTAGTCTTTGAGCCAAAGATAACGGACTTCTGGCTGTAGCTTCATATTTATCATACAGACTAGAGAGTGGTATCAACCTTCTCATATGACCATGGCTTTTAATTGTACATAACCTCATATCTCTACCATCTTTACCTCTGACAATGCAACTCCCCTTCTAAGCTGTCATCTTCAGCATATGCATAATGTCGGTGAACATAATATTGCAAGCTATTAGCATGAATGACCAAAACCGAAGGTCTGTTTAGGATGGATGATGTTGGTGTCTCCTATACATTCAGTTGCAAATTTACACCTAGCTAAAACTAACACAGTCTAATTCAACAGTCTTGCAATAAATTCTTCCTGTTTTAGAGAGGTGATTTATGGTAATTTGGCAACTGAGTGTACACATCACTTCATATGAAGAATGAGCAACAGACCCAAAAACTTGCATTCTAAGTGTGAATACTCACTGTAACAGTCGTAGAATTTCCGTTAGGGAATCTATCAATTTAATCTCATGTGCTCAAAGCAGTTACTCTAACTGATTGATAATAATCAGAAGTGGCAGTGGAGTTTAATTGCAGTAGCTGGGGGGCATGACAGATTTGATGGACAATTTTCTATGGTTATGCAAAGTGTAATTTAAACTACAGCTGCCACAAAAACATGTGACTGATCAACACTGATCAACATAGGGCCAAACGTCATAGGGCCAAACAATTCAGAACAGTCTCAAGTTACAAGCAGTTGTCCAGAACCCTGTCCTGTTTGTCCTGAAATTTAACTGTTAGCTCTATGTATGCTATGAGACTTGACTTGACTGGAGACTTAAAGCAGAACTGCTGAGTAGAGCAGCCTTTGACTCAGTAATGTTGAAAACTCCTGCAGTGAACGTATTTTGAAGTGCTGCCAACTTGTCATGAATAATTAAAAACAAAAGATTAACGAGTTGCTGCTGTCACCAGAATAAAGAAGATGAGAAAGCGGCATTAAATCTGCAGTAGGTATGCACTATCAAAATGGGGTTTTTTTTCATATTGACTGAAACTTTCACTATATCCTGACAGTAGTACATGAGACAGATAATGGGCAAAAGAAATTGGTTTCTCTGGCTTGTTCTAGTGCTCCTAATGGCATTTGTACGAATGCACCGGGCCTGAACAAAAACAACCAATCAGAGCCGAGAAAGATATAAAGACACTTTGGGTTTGAGACTGGAAAGTAGTTGATTGTTGAGTCTCGTACCCAGGGTTCCCAAAGTATCTGTATTTGATTACCTTGGAATGAGACTCAACCAATTATCTTCCTTGACTCTGATTGGTTGTTTTCGTTCAGGCCCTGTGGATTCCTTCAAATGCCATTAGGAGCACTAAGAGGAGCCAGAGGAACTTGATTTTTTTCACAGATTATCTGCCTCATTTACTACTGTCAGGATATAAAGATTCAGAAAATATGATAGAATGTCATTTTTATAAATCAGCTTTGAATCAGCAATTAATCTACATGAATTTGTAGATAGTAGTAGCCAAAGTTTTTTTTGTCTCTGAATCCATGAAAATGTCATGCAGGCTAAAATCATTTTGTTTGTCTAAAATATTTGAGTACTATTGGTGTGTTTCCACTTGTCTATTGCACTGATTAGGCACAAATAACAGATTGTTTGTTATTTGACCTGTTTTAAACCAGATAACGGAGAGTGCAGCCACCACTGAGATCTATGGTAAAAATATCTAAAATAATGTGTTTGTAAGCTCCTACAGCTTAATGACAATCTTAGTTGCCAAGACACTTAGAATAAGTGGCCACATGACCACGCCCACCCCCAACTGCCCAGTCCTGGATTTCACCTATTCTCATCTGGTCACCCAGGAAGGATCAACAGCTACATGATCATCCGATTCATTCCAATGATGCTCAAAGAAGACCAAAGTATTGTGCAGAAGGAAACCAAACGCTGTGTCCTTCCTGTGACTTCGCACATGTCTGCCGAGCAGCCAGCCACCCCTCTCCTCTCCAGCATTAGTGACTGGAGATGCTAATCTCTGCCTGAGGGATTTCTGTAATGCAGTTTCTCTTTACTCTGAGTGGTTGAAAGGATAGCAAAAGCAAACAAAGAAGGCAGGAAGAAAGACACACTGAGGCCATCTTTGTCCTTGTTATTCTTTGCTCTATATTTCATTAGTGTGGGCGCACCACTGTCCTTAACACAGTTCGGTTCTTCTACCTGATTTGATTTGCCGTTGCAGCCATGTACCCTGTCAAACTATGCCTACTATAAATCACTGGACTACCTAGTGTGGCTGGGAGCTTTCTGTGTTGTGTGTGTGTGTGTGTGTGTGTGTGTGTGTGTGTGTGTGTGTGTGTGTGTGTGTGCCTGCATAGTGGGGCTGTAGATCGCTTATCTCAACATCGGCTGTGTTCAAGTCATTGAATCATACCTTCTGATATTGTCTTTGAGCTTCTGGCACGGGCATGTATTCACAAACTGAGACACAAAAATGCACTCAAACTCCTTTATATAGAAACCTCCGTTTACAACGCACAAGGAGCCAGAATATTATAAACACCTCTCAATATTATGACTACATGCAAAATACTGCGTCATAAATCGCCACAGAATTGAATTAAACTCTCTCTGTCACTATCAACAAACTCAGTGTTATAGGCTTGCAGTGCTATTTTATTCTACTTCTGGAACTTCTGGAACTTTAAATAACATTTATCATAGGTATACAGTAAATATTGACCACTGCTTCTCTACTCCCATAGAAGGGCTTTCCACTGTAGGAACAGAGTTATTGATTGTGCACCTACTGTGTGTCCTAAAATCTACCTACAGTTAATTTGCCATTGAATTTATCTACTGTTTTAATGCAAAAAATAAAAAAAGATCTGCTGAAAATTAAGATAAGTGATGAATGACAGTCAGCACTAACATCATGACAAATAAATGAAATTTCCTGTGGCTTTTTCACAATAAAAGCCACCCCGTAGTTCACTAGTTTTTATTGAGCAGCAGCAGTAGGAAATGTTGGGTATCTTAATGCAGATCAGGGCTGAGTGATGTGGACAAAATCAAATAGGATATTTTTGACCAAATATACATAGGGATAACTATTGGTGCTTTCAATCATCTGTAATGTGGATATAATGACTAAGTGGGTAAAGGACACTAATAGGACAGCACTCATCACATCACTTCACTGTAACGCAGCCTTTCAAAAACTCCTGCCATATTATGATATCCAAAATCTAAGACAATATCTAATCTCTTATCACAATATTGATATATTGCCCAACCCTAACACAGATATCCTACTGCTGTAGGAGAGCTTACAGTGTATACTCTTCTGTCCTGTCAGGAAAAGCTTAAAGGGACAGTTCACCCTAAAATCTAAAATAACCTGTAGTGCTATTTCTTCATCTAGATTATTTTGGTGTGAGTTTTGATGAAATCCTGTAGAGATGTCTGCCTTCTCTCCAGTATAATAGAACCAGATGGCACTTGACTTGGGGGCTCAAAGCACAAAAAAAACAAAAAACACACATTTGAAAAACTCAACTGCAATGTCTCTTTTCAGAAATCATGAGCTGGTTACTCAAGATAATCCACAGACCTTTAACTACTTTCTTTCTACCTAGCTCAAAAAATGCAGACCTTCTGTGATACGTAGAAAGAAAATGGTTTCTACATGAAACTGTTTCTTTTCATCCTCCACTGGGACTTGATTCGACTCGACTCCATGTTTCACAGCCAAAGGCAGGATGAGCCCGCACAGACCTCTGTGCTCTGATTATATTGACATATTGCTTAGTAACACATTATGCTCTCAATAATTTAAACATACTATATTGCTACATGGACTAGTCCAGCATGGTTTCATAGTCTTCAAAGTGCGGTCCTCTCACCACTGTATCCTTAGCACTGATGTACTATTGACATGACCTACTTCCGCAGTGCTGTGAAATGTCACCAGCCTGACGTTTGGCACCAGCAGCAGTTAGAAAATGAATCTTTGACTTGACCGGACAGCCCTGGTGTTGTGAAGCATCGTGTGTGCTCTGAATCCACCTGCACTTGTGCATAGGAGCTCCTATGTGAGTGTCTCCATAGCTACTATCTCTGTAAGATCCACTCCCCAAGAACCAGACTTACACACACACACCACTCATAGCTTCCTGACTGGTTTCCATGGCAGCATGCCTCATCAAAAGCTGTTCAACCCTATCAGTGTCAGTCTGTGTATTTGTCTGTATTAGTGCATTATGGGACAAGAGGTTCCATCTTGTACCAGCTGGTGGTCTGAGCCCACAGTGGAGCTGTCAGGGATGTGGTTTCCTCTGTCACAGGACAGAAATGATGAAGTGAATGAATGAAGATGAAGATATAGTGGGAACACAAACACAAGGTGGTAGCTCACATTTGAACCATACCGTTCAAACCTGGGTAGTCACATATTCATTCAGCCAGTCTCTGAATGCCCCGATCCTTACCGCTGACCTAGCTAGAGGGTTAGCAAGTGTTTTGCTAACATTAGCTATCAGATGTAACTAGCTAGCTAGCGATTAATGTAGATTAACTTGCTTTTTAACTAGCTCTGTAGCCAGCTAGATAGCTAGTTAACTAGCAACATAACTGGCACATTTGATATAGATTAGCTACCATTCTGCTAACATTAGCTTTTAACTATCTTTAAAACTAGTTGTCTTTTCAACGTAGATGAGCCTAGCACAGAGCCAAAGGGTTGTGGGAAGGGTCAGTTATCTCCAGGTCAGTGGTGATGATGGACTGCGAGTTGAGTTGCTATACTGTCAATGGTCCCAC